GACCTTCAAGGCATCTTTGAACCCCCATGTTATAAAACATGGCCCTGTTTCCTAATAAGGATCTTCAGTTAGCAGCTTCTCTGGCCCTTTCTTCCTGCCTTAGTTTTCCCACATCCCTTTTCAGAATAAAGACACCTATTTCTCTCATTCTAGTGGGGAAAATCAAACAGGGGGCCATGAGCCAGCATTGGGGTAGAGGAGAGAGGGGGGCAGGCAGACTATGAAACTGCAGCATGTCCTCCTGTTACTCCGCTAAGGGCCAGCTAATCTGAAGGATGAGGATGATACAAAAGGGGCAAACTCAGGCCTTTTCTAGGATACAAGCTTGGCTTTCCCTAGGTCTTACCTGCCCATGAAGGACCATTAAATACTCCTTTCCCCAATTACAAATCCTCCAAGTTCTTAGTCAGAATGGACAGAGCTCTCAATAATAGAGTGATCTCCTAACTTAAACAAACAAACAAACAAACAAAAGAAAAAACAGGGTCTTACTAAGTAGCCCTGGCCAGCCTGGAATTCACTATGTAGACCTGGCTGACCTCAAAATTGTAATAGATATCTACCCACCTCTGCCTCAAAAGCTGGAATTATAGGCATGCACCACCATGCACGGCCCTATCTCACACACCTTAATTGTTTAAATCTGTTACTCTACAAGACTTCCAAAGACAGACAGTGTTCCCAGACTCACTGTATTCCAGTCATTCAGCAGAGACACACAGTAGGCTAATACACAACAGAAGACTAGCAGTTGAATAGTTAGCTTAAGAAGTGGGGGAAGGTAAGATTTTAAGTGTATGAATGTTTTGCCTGCATGCATGCCTGGTGCCCATAGAGGCCAAAGAAGGTGCTGGATGCCCGAACTGGTATTCCAGACAGTGTGAGCCACCATGTGGGTGCTGGGAATTGAACACAGATCCTCTGGAAGAACAGCAAATGCTCTTAAACCTGTGCCAACTCTTCAGCCTGTTTTTGTTTTTTACATGATGCTAGGAATCAAACCCAAGGCTTTCGATCTTATACAAGTTTTCTACCATTGAGGTTTATCCTCAGACTCTAGCCCCTTAAAACACAACACAACACAACACAACGCTAGACTTCCTCAAGTTAGCAGCTCCCAATTCCAGCCCCACTCAAAATCACCTACAGGAATCTAGAAATGGATCTCTGGTGGGCTCCAGCCCTAGTTGGCTAGGTCAGGGATGGAGCTGAACAAAGGCTGTGGCCATCGTTAGGCCGGGGTGAGGAGACATGGGATAGAGAGCACTTGCAGCCACCTCTCCCACACTGTGTCAGAGCTGACCACACCATTTGCCTCTCTCCTGCACAGCCTCCTCTGCTTCCTCAACTGCCCAGTCCACTTGCAGTGGAGCACGGCTTGACTTCTCTTCTCTCCAAATGAGTCTCGGCAGTGCTCATCCCTTCTCTGTAGACTAACAGCTCTCGACCTGTAGGTCCTGACCCCTTGGGTACCCTTTCACAGGGTTCTTATATCAGATAGCCTGCATATTAGATATTTATATTCCGATTCATAACTGAAGCAAAATTACAGTTATGAAGTAGCAGCGAAAATAACATTACGGTTGGGGGTCGCTACACATGAGGAACTCTATTAAAGGGTCACAACGTTAGGAAGGTTGAGAACTGATGTTGTAGACACTACTTCCTTTCTCCACCTTACTTTCTAGAGATACTCAACCATCACCACTTGGCTCTGAGAAGCTCCTCCACCTCAGCTTTCCCTGGGTTACCATATCTTGGGCATCCAAAGCAGCAAACACCTACAATTATAGCTACCATTGTGCTAAGTGCTTGACAGGTATGACTTGTTGGTCCCTAACATTAACCAAGTAAGCCTGGATTCACAGTCATTTCATAAAGGAGTAAACAGACCAAGGAGGGTTAAAACACTCCCACAGGCCACTTAAGAGGATGCACTGCCGTACTATATGAGCTCCCTAAGGACAGGAACCAGGCTCCATCCGCTTCTCCTTTGGGAGCTAGTCCACAGTTTGGCATAAAGGGCTCACTTAGTGTTGGAAGAATAAAGGAATGCTAGGCAAGAGGACACTGGGTAAGACAGTAAGTATGTATGCCATACCTGGCCTGAATGAGTACCAGGAGTCAGCACTGTGAGGTATCCAACAGTCACAAACTGAGCAATGAAGATCACACATAATATATACCCTTACAGTGATTTAATTAAAATGGTCCCTACTCTAAAAATGTCTAGGTACAATAAGTGCTATGATTATAATCATCCATCTATTATCAGACATTATGCTAGTAACTCTAAGACATCATAAGGAAACTAAAAACTTTAAACTCAGTGGGCAGGTCCGTATCATCAAATGTCATTGCCATTTTCGCACTGAGAGTCCTTTCTGGCTTACAGAAAGAACTAGGTGGTTGTAGGCAAGGTGGCCCTTCAGATCACTTCCTCCCACTGACCATGACAGTGGCATAGGCATGAGCCAGCAGGGGAAGGTCTGAGGATAGGAACTACCTTGACCTTCTGTGTACCTCAAACAAGGGCCCTGGTTACAGACATCATTTTGAAGCTTGCTGAGTGAATTAAACATAACGAAATGGTTTCAATAACAGTACTGACTGATCACCTTAGCCACGTCCTCAAGGGAACAGATTTACTCTCAGCACGGGAAGAACCAGGTCTCTGGAGGCCCTTTACGCTAACCTGGACTGTCCCAGAAGATGCTGGAGAGACGAGAAGGAAAGGATAGGGTGAGCTCACTGCCAAGCAGCCCAGCTTCCTTAGCAAGCCTCCTGGGTTCTAACCACACACACGGGCTGTAAGCTGAGTGGTTTGGAACTAAAATCAGCTGCTGGAAGTAGTAGGTAAGGCTGGCCACGCAACACAACTCCTGCCGCCCAGGAGAGATCCTAGGCTGCTTCATACTCTCTTGTTGATGATGCTCAAATAGGGAAGAAAACTAAGTCTGAGACACAAAGCAGGACAGAAGATGGGGAGCTAAGCTCTGTCAAGCTGTTCTCACTGCCTCCTTGGACTGCTCTGAGGTTCTGTGAGTTTACCTGCCTCCGCCTTCCCACCATCCTTTGCTAAAAAAAAAACAGTACTTGTTTAAGCTTTATCTTGAAGTAAAAGAGGGTTGGAGAATTTGGGTGAATAGATCGGATTCAGTGGGCTAGAACAACTGAAAGGCCTTTGGGGATCCCAAATAACCTTAAGAGACTGTATCCATAAGTGTCCAGGTTACACAAGTGAGCTAAGAGCTACAGAGAGAGAGCCATGGGGCTGGAGCCGGGCTACCTAAGGAAGCATTGCCACCCAAGCACTCAGGATGACTCTTAGAGACGTGGGTTCCATATCAGCAAGACTTTAGGGTTCTAAGAGGCACAAATGCAGGTATGAAACATCCTTTACTTCATTTTTGCCTATTGTTATCAAAACAGATGATGTAGACTAGGCTAGCCCATAACTTGCTATGTAGTGCAGACTAGCTTTGAACTCAAAGCTATCCTCCTTCCTCAGTTTCCCAGGTGCTAGAATAGAATTACAGGCACAAACTACCGCCCCCTGCCACACAGTTGTTTCAAAACACCAGCTTACACTAAGATTAAAAACAAAAATAAAATAGTGTGTGAGTTTTGGATCTTAGAATACATCTGTGGGCTGGATGTGGTCTTATTCGCCACCCACAGACTTGGTTCAGCAGGTAACAGTGAATTTCACCTTCCCTATCCACTCTACATCCAGACAAAAGTGAGGGGGTTACAAACCAAGATCCTTAGGAAAGGTATGATAGTGGACAAAGCAATGACCAACCTCTAACCCAGCACCAGGGACTTCTGACCAGAGCACAAAAAGCTGTTTCTTCAATCTCATTTCTACCTTCAGCAAAAAGTAGGCCAATCAGAGCTGACGTTTCAGTTCCCCTGTGTGTGTAAGAGTGAGTTTTTGATTGGATTTTGTTTGCCTCATATTTGTAAGTGGGAGTCATTTGTGTGAATGTTTAACTGTCGTGGGTTTCTGTCTCCCCATCTGAGAACAGGGTGACTGTAGCTACATCCTCTGGTTTGTTTACTAGGTCTGTTAATCACTAGGACAGGGATCTGGTGACTGGTTGACAAGGCTCCTGCATTCTATGGTTTATATGGAAAAGCAGACAAAGAACTGTATCAGCATTTAATGCATCAAATTAGTGCTTGATTCTGAGGAGAATATAGGGGAGGTGGAAAGGTTAGAAGTAAGGTACGCTAATCACCCGGCATGAATAATGATTCCTAGGTCAAGCAGTAGTATAGACAAGAATCTAAAAACCTGGATCAGAGGAACTAATGAAGGTCCTAATTTTTGGAACAGTTGTATTTCAATAAAACTGAACGGTTAAAGACACTATCCAAACTTTCTGGGCTCTCTATGTGACAGGGACCCTAGAGCATTGTATGTCTGAATAGGAAAGAAAGAGGACAACAGACAGCTAGCTCCATGGCTCTCTTCTAGATAACAACACTCCCGGTGGGAGGTCAAAATAAGTTAGAAGGGGAAGCAATATTTGCTTGAAATCGAGACCCAGCAGGAGTACAGTTCAACCTGTGACAGCCCAGGCTGCAAGGCGGGATGATGGGCATGCTTCTGACATGCAACAAGTTGAAACACTTTCGTTAATTAAAAATCCTCTCACTGTGATACGAGACACAAAGGGAGACAGCATCAAAAGTGGGTTACAATAAGCACAGGTTCTGGCCTGCTTTAACCTCTCCCTCATTCACCTAGTTACTTCTCTGTAAAGGCAAAGCCTGGGATAGGCATGGAGGAGCACAGGAATGGCATCCTCCTAGCCCCTGGTGTCCACAGGTCAGTGCTTGGGACAGACACAGCAACAAGTTCCATCACAGAAGGAGTGGAGCCATTAGAGGGGAGCAGAGAGGGCTGCGGGCACACAGGGGACACTTGGTGTAACTGGGGAGGTCAGGGAAAGCTTTCCAGGAATGGTACCCCAAAGAGCATCCCCACTCACATGCACAATTCCAGAGATTCTACTAGAAGGCTGTCAAGAGCCATGCCTTCAGGCTGCACCAGCCTCCCAGAGTCCCCTGCTGCCCGATGCAGTGTCTGCAGAGCCAAACGCATCTTCCGCCACGCCTCATCCTCATCCGGGCGCTGCATCCGACCCTCCAAGACTCCTGCAGGGGCCTGCCTTTCTCGGCAGGCTCAGCCAAAAAACCAACTCAAAACTCTTTTGTCAGAGCAAGCTTGGGGAAAGCCACCCAGCCCCGGGTGCCACAACCCTCCCTGAGCAACTGTGGCCCATGCCACCCCCGCCTCTCCTGTTTTCTCTTTCGCTCAAAAGAAAGTGACCTTCCAGGTGGCAAGCTGGAAGCTTTTGAGAATACTCTTACTCTCGAAGGATTCATCAAACTAGTGGACTGGAGGGGGCGGGGGTGGGGGTGGAGGTGGGAGTGGGGGCGCCTTATGGGACAGGAGGTAGGAGGAGAACAAGGGTTTCCTCTTTAGTGGAGTTGTTCTAACAGTCTTTGGGGCCGCCTGACTCTCTACTCCAACTGTTCTGCTGGGTAGGGAAAGGAGGGAGGTCCCAGAAGGCAGATGCAGAGGTACAGCTGTTGAGGGTAGTGGCTGCCGACTGTGCAGGGGAAGGAATGAAGCTGCTGGGGGGGGGGGGGGGGGGGGGGGGGCGGCACAGAGGCTGCAGCCTTGCAGGTTCCAGCGCCCTGAGATGATGATCTTTTAGTGGCCGGGGGATCAGGTGGCTCCAAAGGGAAGTGGAAGGCAGAGAACTAAGCGGTGGTCTCAGGACCTGAGCCAGTCCCAGAGAGCATAAATGCTCAGAACATTTAGCTCCGGAGTAGGGGTTGAACGGGTAGCTTGAGAAGGGTCGCAAGACGGTTGGCTGAGCTTTGGCTGTGGATAGCGGTCCAGCCTCCATTCCCCGCAAGGGTGTTGAAAGCTGCTCCGGAATTGGGATCTGGCCCCAGACCCACAGCATGGTCCATGCCTAATCCCGCCCTACTCCCGCTCACGCTCTGGGGAGGTGTAAGCAGCCGGGCAGTCGGAGTCGTCTTGCTGGATCCTACCTGAGGGCCTGGAGCCAGCCTGGGCTCGTCTTCCTCTCGGGGGCCGTCACGATCCGGCTCCGCAGGCACCTCCGGGGGCCCTGCACCCGCTCCCGCTTCCAGGCTTGGCGGCGGCTGCGGCTTAGGCGCCTGGGGCTTCTGCAGCCCGGCAGCCCGCTCCCGCCGGCCCGCGCCGCCGCTCGGCCTGCTCCGCCTCCGAGTCATGCTGCCTCTCGCGCCGCTCCCCCGCTCGCTGGCTCCTCTCGCGCCTCCGCCGCCGCCGCCGCCGCCGCCGCCGCTCCCCTCACAGGACAACAGCCAATATGGCGGCGCCCGGCGCCCCTCCCCGCCCGCTGCCAACAGGTCAGAGGGCACACTGAGTCCGCGCCGCCGCAGTCGCCTCTGAAGCCGCCAGCGCCATTTTTAATAAGGCCACCTCCCTGTGCTTCGCAGGAGACCAGCCCAGGGCGAGTTGCTATCCTAAGAACTAGTCCAAAAGGCTGCGACCTGCTGGAGAAACACGTTTGGCGCTGTAATAGCGGGCCTAGGAGCTTAATTGTCCATTAAATGATGAGTGAATTACTAATTTCTACTGCGAACTTTTCACACTCATCTCTTGGCTCCTCCCTACACCACTTGGACACAGGTATGAATTATTCCCATTTTTGCAGTGGACAAGCGCTGGCTGCAAAATGCCTACCGAAGATTCCTAGATATCATCCCGCCACACCTGTGGTCAGCCTGAGGCGAAAGACACCAAGGGAACGAGGAGGTCTTTACTTGGAATCTGTCGTTCACTAGGAGTCCCGCGTTCTGTGCTCAGAACTGCAGGACCAAGAATCAAGTCCTTCTTGAGGCTGATGGGAAAGGGGGTCAGTGTGACAAGGATGAAATGATTAAAGCACATACTATGGTAATGTGTTTTAAAAAGTGGTATGTGCAAGAGAGGACTTTAACTCACAAAGCAAAATTAGAAATGTTTAACAGCTAAGTATTTAGTTGTTAAAATGTCATCTCCACCCGTTTTTGTGGGGTAGAAAAATACAGGCACATGGAAAAAAATCTATATCTATATAGATATAGATTTTTTTGTTGTTGTTAAAGTTTCCAGTGCTGTCTTATGCCTTGTCGAGTGAAACCGAAACTCTTTGGTAGTTACTCATGGAATTTATATTGATACCATCAACCAGAACAGAATCTGGAACTTTGACTACCAAGAAGTAAATCAAGTTTTAAAAATTATTCTGTTTATCTTATTGTTTCAAGTGTGTGTGTGTGTGCGTGTTGATAGGACTGGGTTAAACATACTTGGCCTAATTTGCTCCATCTTGAAGTGTGTCCTCCATTTTGCATGGCCCCAATTCCAAGAAAAACCACAAATGTTCTAAGACTAGCGTCTACCAATCAAGGAAGGGGAGGGACATCTGGCCTTTTCTCCAAGACCTTGAAATAGTTGCCAACCTTCTTTACCTGGGATAGCCAGGGGTCACCAGTCAGGAACCAGGACTTCTGGAAAGCCCCCTAACTACAACCAGTCATGGTAAAGGTTTTCTAGATCCCTCACCCTAATCCTCGCCTTCATACCTGTTTGTGGTTTTCTGCTTTAACAGGCCTGTGAGCCTACTTCTCGGGGTCATAGCTTCAGCTCACGAGCCTGACTGCACCTCTACTCCCAAGAGATGGTTGTGTCCCTTGGTGAATAAAAGCTGCTTTTGTTTGACTTTGGATTTTGGTGGTCTGTGCCTCATTGTTTGTGTGACCTCAGACCCTACATTTCTGTGTGCATTCGTGTGTGTGTGTGTGTGTGTATGTGGTTTGTGTGGTGTCACTGTGTACCTGTGGAAGTCAGAGGACAGCTTTGGGACTCAGTTCTTTTCTTCCATCATGTCGATTTTAGGAACTGAACTCAGGTCATCAGGCTTGATGACAAGTGCTTTTACCATTGAGCTATGTCACCTAACCTATTTTTGGTTCTTTGAAACAGTGTCTCGGTTGTGAGAAAAAAAAAAAGAAAAAGAAACAGTGTCTCATTAATTAGCTACCCTAGTCTGGAATTCACTGTGACCACACCAGCCTCCAACTTGCATTGATCCTTGGGCTTCTGCTTCTTAAATGTCATGATTACAATTGGGTTCTACCAAAACTCTAAACCTCATGACAGATATTAGTGTCACTATCAGATAATTAAAAGACTCAAGTTATATTCTCATGTAACCATTATGTCTTTATTGACATCAAGATAAGGTGGCCTTTTAAAAGTGACAGAGTGCCAGGTGGTGGTGGCACATGCCTTTAATCCTAGCACTCGGGAGGCAGAGGCAGGCGGATTTCTGAGTTCAAGGCCAGCCTGGTCTACAGAGTGAGTTCCAGGACAGCCAGGGCTACACAGAGAAACCCTGTCTCAAAAAACCAAAAAAAGAAAAAAAAGTGACAGAGCTGCCAGCAGTGGAGGTGCATGCCTTTAGTCAAGGCACTCAGTAGGCAGGGGCAGATGGATTTCTAAGTTTGAGGCTAGCCTGGTCTACAGAGGGAGTTCTAGGATAACCAGGGCTACACAGAGAAACCCTGTCTTGAAAACAATCGAAAGACAAAGTCACCAGTAGTAGGAAGCAAGGTGAGGGAGAGGATCAATCAGCATTTGAGAGACTTCAAGGCTAGCATTAGCCACATACTATAACCCTGTCTCAAAAAACTAAGGGTACAGGGTACAGTTTGATGGCAGAGTATGTTGGGAAATGGTTCTGTACACTCTGTATGTAAACGGTGGTTTCAATACCCAGAGATCTGGGTGCAGTCCAGACTTGGTATTGTCATTATTATGAAGTATTTCCTAAGTCAGTCTTTTGTACAAACTCATTCTCCATCATCTTCTGATTGGTCAATAAAGAGCTCAATTTCTTCTTTGAACCAAGAAGGAGGTACTATCTGGGGCAGACATGTCTCTAGTTAAATGAGCCTTAATAAAGAATTAATACTAAATGTCATATTCTGAGGATTTCTGATGTTTTTGAAGATTATCTATATAAAGTAAATCTGAATTGTTAAGCTATGTCTACTCTTAGCTATTTCTATTTGAATATTGTAGAAAGGACGTAATATAATTAAGCCAGAATCTAATATAACCATGAGTTTACTATCTGGCCCTTAACTTGCATTACGTAATCAGCCTGAACAGTTTGTAATAGCAGCTATAGAAGGACTAAGTCTAAGCCTTGTGTTCTTAAATGAGTTGCTTAGACACTATGCCTTTCTAAGAATAACAATATTAATTTCAAATTTTGTATCAATTTAAGAAATTTATACCAATGAAAACTTAAATCTGTATCAACCTATAAATTCTGTACCAGTGTAAAAATTATAACTTCAATTTGTATCAATTATATTTCTACCAATGTAAAGTTGTGGGTATACAATGCTTTGTTTAAGAATAAATTTAGTAGGGGCTGTAGAGACAGCTCAGTGGTTAAGAGCACTGGCTGTTCTTCCAGAGGTTCTGAGTTCAATTCCCAGCAACCACATGGTGGCCCACAACTATCTGTAATGGGATCTGATGCCCTCTTCTGGTGTGTCTGAAGATAGCTACAGTGTATTCATATACATAAAATAAGTAAGTCTTAAAAAAAAAAAAAAAGAATGCCAGGCAGTGGTGGCACACGCCTTTGGCAGAGGCAGGCAGATTTCTGAGTTTGAGGTCAGCCTGGTCTACAGAGTGAGTTCCAGGACAGAGAAACAGAGAAACCCTGTCTCAAAAAACCAAAAAAAAAAAAAAAAAAAAAAAAGAGTAAACTTAGCAGTCCACCCCATCTCTTTCCCTCCTGTTCAAAATTATGACTATTTCCAAATTATCCCATAAAATCACTATAATTTTTAAAATAACCATAACCAGACACCCAGATGTAAGGGGTGTGCATGATGACTCTCCACAGTTTCCTGCTGAATAGGGGCGATGAAAATTTCTTTAAAAGGATGGGGAGGGATAGGAAAACTTAAAAATTTAGTTAGACTTAAGAAAGCTAGCTTTAGTGTCTGTTATCCAGTCTTTGTATGCTTAGAAGGCTCGGGACTTGACTGAAGTTCTGACTGGATCCATCTTAAAGGTTAGATGAAGCAAGGTCGTCTTGGAATCATCAGCTATTCCTGAAGCTGTTTTGGAAACAAATCTCTGGAAACAGCTTCAGGAGGTAGGGGAGTGGATCAGCTGGCCACATCAGCGTCCCCGAGGATGAATCTTGCCAGAGCTGTACATTCTGTAATATATGAATTTT